TTCTGCCCTGAGTCCACTGTTGCAGAGAGCTGAGAAGAAAGATGGGTATCTGGCTCTGAAATTACCTAACGTCAATTCACACAGAAGACGAATAAAATAAAAATCACTATATTAGCCTGCTCTGCATTTAAAACTAGCTTTAACGATACAACATTTTCTGTTTCTGCTTTTTAACTCATTCAAAGGCTCCAGCCTTTCAGCTCTGTGAGAGGATATTTTAGATAGGCAAGCAGCATTATGCATTCATTAAGTGATAATTACTTAGCAGCTGCTGACATCATGCAGAGGGCTAACTAAGCACTTGAGTAGGCAGGAAAAGGTCCTCAGGCATGAATGACATCATGAAGATGGTGAGGAGGTGGGAACCAAGGATGCCAGCATGAGTAAGAGACCCCAGGTAAGAACAGAGAGATTCAGATCTTCCAGGGTTCCTGTTCTGTTGGGTCGGGGTGGGGAATGATCGCTCAGCTTGAGATCTGCTTTCCAAGTCCACTGCCCTTGACCACTGACTAGCACACTTCCCTGCTAAACTCTCAGTACCTAGAGCCGTTCACCCACCTTTAATATTCCCTCACAATTCTATTCCATAACACTAATACCAGAGGGAGAGGACACCTGCATGTACCATCCATAAATAAAGCACGGATAGAGATGAGGGCTTCCGGGCACTGTGTCCACCTGAATCTAAAGGACCTGGAAGGCCTCACTGGGAGTTTGTAGCCTAGAGAAATGACACCCGTCCTGCTTCCAAGGCACACAGGAGACCTGAAGCTACTGCCCCCAACACCTCACCACAGAGATAGTTACCATTTGCTCAGCCATAGCTGGGATTTGCTAATGGTTAAGGGCTGACACGAAGCCCTGCTTCAATTGTTCCAATGCTAGAGAAGAAGCCATGTTGAAAGCAAAACACACAGCTCTTTGTAATGAAAACCTGGGGGGCACGGGGAGGGATGGGCCAAAGAAAGCTATCAGCCATCAGTTCTCAGCACACATAAAAATAAAAGCATTATAAACCTAGGTCCTTTGAGTAACAGAAATAAAATTTTTTAAAACCCTATAAATATATACAATTAATTGAAAACTAAAAGAAAATGAAAAGAAACAAGCAAAAGTGTGTTTCTGTGTCTCTTCAGTAAGCGAAACGACACTGTGCATGGCACAGCACAGACACTCACAGGTGGGCAGCCTTAACCTCGCTCACAGAAGCAGGCCAGGTGTTCCTGAGAATCTAGACTCTCTGACAGCAGGGTTGCAGCTGCCCCACACTGCTTTATCTCCAGCTCAGCTCGACTCTTCCAGAACTCAGCACAACTCTCACTGTCTGCTCAGGAATGAATGAATGAATGAAAGAATGAATGAGAGGGGAACTTTGGACAACTCTACTGAGAAGCAGCATGGCATGACTGAGGGGTAAGAAGCTGCCATGTGTACCTAGAATAAAAGTCATTCCAATAAACTCAGCCACACATCATGACATGGAAGAATGTAACCAGCGGTACTACACAGTCTACCATGGACTAAGAGCAAAACACAAGGAAAAAGTTGAGAAGCAAAACTAAGGGAGAAAGTCATGTGGATGAAAAAGGCATGACTGAATCTCCCTCAGCCAGTTCCCCAGCTAATATTTTTCTTCATCGGGGTAGATTGCTGCCCTAATGTTTCCTGTGTATTCAGAGAGCCATTAATTATCAAGATTTATATGTTAAAATATGCTACAAAAGCTGGCTTTGAAATTTTTATCGAAAGGAAAATGGATGCTTCTATTTTTCTGGGCTTACGTTTATATTTTATCTAATCCTATTATCTAATTTCACACTGTGCTGGTTAGTTTTCTGTCAACTTGACACAAGTTACAACTATCTGAGAGGAAGGAGCTTCAATTAAGAAAGTGTCCTTAAGACTGGGCTGTAAGTAAGCCTATAGCACATTCTCATTATTGATGATTGATGGGGCAAGGGGCCAGCTCATTGTGGGTGGCGCCATCCCTTGGTTGGTGGTTCTGGGTTCTATAAGAAAGCAGGCTGAACAAGCCAGTAAGCAGCACTCCTCCATGGCCTCTATATCAGTTCCTGCCTCCAGGTTCCTGCACTGCTTGAGTTCCTGTCCTGATTTCCATGGATGATGAAGTGATGTAGAAGCATACCCAAACAAATCCCTTCCTTCCTGGGTTGCTGTTGGTCATGGTGCTTCATCCCAGAAACCCTAACTAGTAACCTTAACTAGGACACTTAACCCCCTTAACTGCCTACTACAATGTCTCCCCAAATAAAGTAGTTATTTGGAAACAACAGCCCTTTCCTGGGTGACCTGTTGAATGTCCAAATCAAACACGTTCCTAATAAACTTTTCTGAAGAGCTCACTCCAAGAGAGTTGTGTATGTCCACTCTGTACTGTTATAACAAAATTTGAGCCGGAAGGGTAACAATGGGCTTACCGTAAGGTTTAAAGAGTGGGAAACTCAAGATGGAGGAGCCTCTTAAGGGACTTCCTGCTCAATGACTGAATGGAAAGTCAAGCAAGCAGACACACAGGAAGTGGAGGTGAGACCACCAAGGGACCAGTACTTCTATCAACCAGAAGTGCAGTGTGGGTGTGGTTTTCACCCACAGTCCTAACTTGGCTTCCTTCCCTTTGATTAGTTAATAACTTCAAATTAGGTACGGAAATAGTTACAGAGTAAAGTCTGAAGGGGTGAGAATTTCCTGAACATTTTTAAAGGAAAATCAACAATATTATGAAGAAGTTGCTCGGGATGAGAACACACCAAAAAAGGAACTCAGCTATCGGAAGACACACTCTAGGAGTATTTAAGATGTCACCCAGATAACTTACAGAATTATTTAAAACCCGGCTCCTTAATTACTAAGTTACCTTCAGAGAAGGCAGTAAGAGGGTGAAGGGTGTTTATGTACCGTGTGGAAGGTGTGGAGGGCTTCCACACAGGGTGCCCTCCACCAAACCTGAGTGTGCCACAGGCCTGTACTGATTTCCTCATCAGCTTACGGGCAGTAGTCCTGAATGGGATGGCTAACAAAACAGAAGATTTGTCCAGTTTACTGGACGGTAATTACACATAACAAGCATAGAAGAATGCCATGTCTCTCAAATCCTACCCCAAGCTGACCACACATTTACACTATTCACCTTCAACCCTTACGGTGACTCTACCGACGTGACTGCTTTCCAGTACTGTGCCTAGCAAGAAGCGACTTAAGAGAAGAGGGCTTTGGCACAGTTTGAGGGCACACAGGCCATTGCACTGGGAAAGGCATGGTGGCAGTAGCTTGCCGCAGATCGTCACATCAGGAAGCAGAGAGCAAAGAGAAAATGGAGTGGGGTCCACGAACTTCAAGGTCCATCCCCAGGGACCCACTTCCTTCAATTGGGCCCCATCTCTAGGGCTGCACCTAACTGTGGTCCAAGCTTTCAAACACACAGTCTATGGGGGCATCTCCCATTCGAACCCCACTCCCTGTCACTCTCCCAGCCATCTAAAAATGGTACTAAAAACACGTCAACCCCTCCCAGCTCTCCACCTTCACCCCCCACAGCTTCTACTACTCAGAAGTTCATCAAGCCCACTCCTCAGTTACAACTCTATAGGGATATAGTTCAAGTGTCAGGTATGCTGTTGTGTGATATTTTGATCGTGGTCTGACAATAAGGCTTGTTTGGAGTGAGAGGGTGGAGCTAGCCACTAGCTGACCAAAATTAACCACAGAGGTTTTGGAGGACAGAGGACAGATGGGACAGGAAGTAGAAACACGGGGTGGAGAGGGATCTCAGCCCCTTGGAGAAAGGAATGGAGCAGGGAGGAGAGGATTGATGGTTTCTCTGCTTCTCTCATCCTTCAGGTCCTTACCCCCCCGATATCTGACTCCTGATATTTATTGATAAAGAATATTTAGATTAATGTTTCAGTACGCAACTTCCCAACCTGTTCAACCTTAAGTAATTTCCTTCTGCTTTCTCTCCCTCAGTTTCCTCACCAGGAAAATGGAATAAAGGTTCTCATGTCACAGAATTCCTAAGAAAATTACATGGCTTAATATTTGTAATACACTTCACATAGTAATTCCCACAGTTTGTTATCATTATTGAACACTTTCTGTATCACCTGCAAAAGCATTAAATTTCGGGACATAAAACACAGCTTTTCGCCACCCTTTGCAAGTCCCTCCTGCAGACACGTAAAGCTCTGGGGCTTGAGAAGGCCCACAGAATACTTTGCACAGACTTGGTCCTGAGGAACTGGCCAGTGTGGAGCACAAACAGGTGCACAGGGAGCACAGGAGAAACAGGGACACCAGCAGGAGTGAGGCATCGAGGACCCCGTGACCGCTTTGACACGAGCAGGGACCCACAAGCAAAACTTATCCCCAAGGAAGGGCCTTTCCTGGAATGCGGTTTTGCATCTGAAACCATTTTCAAAAGCAACGTGTTCCCTTATCACGATTCTATCAGAGATTCTCAATGAGTAAAACAATGGTGTCTTCCTCACTCAAAGCACTAAGATGCTTCAAATGTTCGCTATAGTATAAATATCACCATAGGTCAACTTCTCCATTAGCTAATAGGAGAATAAACTTCACAACCTCAGCGAATTTCCCAAGGCTGTCTGTTTTGGAGAAAGTACCTTTCGTATTTAAAGAAATTATAAATACGACGATAGACAAAAGCTGGCTTCTGTGAAATCGCACCCTGCTGTCCCAGCACCTACTGGCTGTGTCTTAGAACAAATTCCCCTCCCTATCTACAGGCATGGTTCAAAAATGCAGCATTCTGTTATGAAATGAGCAAAATTAAGCTTCACTTCTAAGCTACCCACTGTGCAATAAAACAATAAAACAAAGTTTAAGTTTGGCTCTCTTTCCTATTAAAACTAAGGAGGTGGAGTGAGGACTAGGGCTTTACATCCAACAGCTAGGCAGTGTAGTCAGGGTATCGCAGACTCGGATGCACAGATATGCCAGCATGGCTACCTTCTCATGGTTACCTTTTAAATGCTTCCGCCGGGTTCCTCTCACACTCTCCGGGCTCCAGGAGACTCTGGACGGCTGGATCTCTTAGCTTGTCCTCATAACCTTGGAGGAGTCCACTTTGGCAGATCTGGGCTACCAGCCCTCTGACGAACCCTCCGACACACAGAGTGTCCGAGTCCTGGGCTTTGCAGAAGTGGAAAGCCAGAGCCTGACGATGCAGACCTCTCTGCACGCTGGCTGGTGAGCTGGGCCACAGGAGCTCAGTGCACAGGGCTGTCTTCCCACTGCCAGGCCCTCCCACCAGCAACACACCCCAGGAGGCTCCCTTCCCAGAGATGGCACTAGCGTTATTCCCAGCATTCCCCACAAGGGACTGTGTGTTGGCTGCACTGGTGCAGCAGCTTGATTTCTCCTGGAGGCAGTGCTGAAGTTTGTGGAAAACCCACTCCCGACAGTAAAACTGCTTCCCTTGCAGTAGACTCGTTTGGGCCATTCTGCAGACTTTCTCTTCCCAGGGATTAGTCATAATAGGCTTTGTTTTGTTTTGTTGTTGTTTTTAAATCTTCAGTGTGGGCTAGAATCCGGATACATTGCCACAGGCTTCACGTCCATTTGTACATAACTTATATGTTAGTTAACTGAAAATAACCAGTTACAGGGAAATTCAACAACCCCAGACTTCATTTGGCAAAGGAATGTGCATGTCTTTATTTGGTTCCATAGCCTTAATTAGCAAAGGATATATTTATTTAATTGTCAAGCAGATGTAAAACTGGCTTGCCCGGAAGCCGGGCAACACCATTCCTGGATCTTTCGGGGGTCACAGAACTCTGTGGCTCAATCTGGAGTTCATGTGACGGTAGATGTTTCAAGTACACAATTGAGAAAACACATCTGGAAACAGAAGCGAACGGCCAGTGCTTGGATCCGGAGAAGACGCCCCCCCAGCACGGCAAGGCTCAGTCCTCTATCTGAACGCGAGATGCAGAAAAGCCATCCATTATGTTAAGTGGCACCAGAGAGATTGCATTTAGATCGTGTGTAGGTAGCGCTGCGCCTCCCGCTGAAGGATGAGCATTCCAAGCCTAGTTCTCGCCAGTCTCAGACATCTGACCACAGCCAGGGAACTGTTTCAAATTAGTCTCTTATGTGGCAAAAATCACAAACCTCTGTTGACACCTTCTTAATGGAAAACAGTCATAAAATATTTCTTTTCGAGATGACAAATCCTTAATAGACCTGTTTGTAGGTTTCTCGGCGTTCCCATGTCCAGGTAGTCAACAATTCCCAAAACTAAAACGAAGCAAACAAAAATATGTTTAGTGCAAACACCGCGTTCAATCCCATTTGTTACCACTCACCCCATAAAGCACTTTCAAAAAGTTACATGATTACCCCTTAAATAAGCCCATTTTCCTTTGTACACTTTTTTCTTCCCTTATGGGTATGCTTCCGAGACAGACTTTATCAGAATTAACCCAGATTTTGAAAGCCTCGCCGTCCAAACGGAAACAAAATGGTACTTTATGCCACCTACAGCACCACCCTGGATTTCAGCCCGAAAGCCCTCGCACTGTAGCTGGGTCTGAGCGCCACTGAGGCAGCTCGGGCTTGCCCCGTCCGCCGGGGCTTCTTTGTTGATAGTTTGCAGACCCTAGGGGAGGCACGGGGCTGCTGCTGCACCGGACCTGCTCCCGCAGAAGGCCGGATGAGCCCGGACAGGCAGTCCCCACTCGGACCCAGGAGGACGCCCGCTTCCCTCCGTGCTCCCGGCCGCAGCTCCGGCCCCAGCTCGGCTGACAGACAAAGGCTCGGAACTAGGTGCAGCCCGGTGCGGCGCGGGCAGGGCGCGGCCCAGGTCCCGCCGCGGGCGCCGCCTCCAGCCCCGGGAATCCAGAGAGGGGTCTGACCCGCCCAACCGCGGCCCGGAGCACCGACCGAGACCGCCGACAGACGCGGGCCGACTCCGGGGTCCGAG